AGTGAATTAACGGTTTGTTCCATTTTTGTTTTGAAATTGAAACCCATAGAAAAGAGAAACAGGGAAAACATATTACCTTTGAAGAACATTTTTTCTCTGTAAAAACAAAGTGACACCTCTACATGATCTTCCTTGCTATATCTCTGGCAAAGAAACCGTTGGTGGGAACCAAGTTTACTTTTCTGTGCAGGGAATTAAGAGAATTTGTGAGAGAGATGCTCTTTGTTTCACACAAAGGAGCAACCTTCTACATAACTAGATTCTATAGTTTTATCGACAAGTGAAGTGGGGGATTACCCCCCACGTCACAACTCCCACTCCACTGCAAAATTGTAGGGGAGTTTATAATAATTAATAATAATGAATTCATTTAATTTATAATTATTAATCTAATTAATAATTAATTAATTAAATCCAAATATTAATTAAATAAATAATTAATTAACTATTTTTTAGACACAATAAATAATTAGCTGTTAACTATGCAACTTTTAATTAAATATCACATGTTTAATTAAAACCATATATTTGAATTATATTCAAATGCATCTCTCTAGTATTACATGTAGTTTTAATATGAATCCAATTCATATTAATTATTATTTGAATCTTATTCAAATATTTCTCTAATAACATATAGTTTAATTCAAAATAAACTATTATAATGTACCATTATATACATTCCCTTATAATTTGAACATTTCAAATTCTTGATCTTCGTTTTACCCGTTGTGAGCTAGCAATGGGACCTAATGGACATACAGATCAGAAGCTCAAACGATACGATATTAATTGATTAAACTCATTAACTATATTAATCAACATTGTCCCCAAGGGATAGCTTGGGTGGCTTGGGGTATCAAAGAATAACCTTGAGGTCTTTAGTTTAAGCCACATGGGGACAATGCGCATACCCCCCAGGGTATAGAGATATATAAATGCCAAAGGGTCACCAACTCATTGGGTAATAAAAAAACCATATTAATCAACATTTGTTAATTGTTGGTCGCTCCAATAAAGACCTAAATGACCATTAACAGTAAGTCAATTCTTCAGGAGTGTTAGTAACTACAGTTGTGTCAAATTACTGTTTTACCTTTGAGTTACCTCTTTCATCTTAAGTACCACCGATCCTTTAATGAACAACCTGTTTATGGTCCGACCATTAAACAGAAGTTCCTCTTGGGCCAGTGAGAGGGTGGGGCCCATTGTTCAAGTCCTGGAGTTAGCAATTAAGAGAACACTTATTTACTTACCCTAAAGTTGGGAATGAGTGAATTTCATCTTTGTGTAGTTATGTTCTCAGCTCCTCAGTCGGTCATGTCCCCAAAATAGTAGGAATATTAAGTCAGCTACTCGGACGACCCTCACCCATACAAATCAAAGGACGACGCCTTATAGGCAGGAGTCCATAACTTATTATGGATGCAGATTGAGATGCCTAGTTTTCCTATGAAATAATAATCTATTAGTTAACGTTGTTGCAACTGGTAAGGGTTGTCAAGATCCTCCAAAATAATTACTGATTTTATTAAATCTAACTTATAGACGTAGTGAGACTAGGTCAAATCCCAAGGGAACCAATTAATTTCTCAAACTTTTAACAAAATTGGGGGTTGAATTTGAATTTTGAAATTTAAAAAGATAAACTAAAAGGAAAACGAAAGTCAATCTTACCAAACTTCCAATCCAAAGGTGTGATTTTCATCCAATTATAATCTTGATCAAAGGCTTTACAAAATTGATTTCTTAATTCAAGAACTTAGTCTACTTATTTGGAACAACTGTAAATTTAATTAATTTAGACCAAGCATCAAAATTAAATCTTATTAAATAATCAATTGGGCACGATAGCGTTCCATATTAATCAAAGAATAACATTAAGGATGATGAGAATGACTAAACCACAATTCATTAATTTGAAATAGCTGCAAGTTAATTAATTTCGTTCTTTTATTTTCCTAGAGTTTATTATGCAACTATGTAACATAGAAAAGTCATAAATAAACACACATAAGCCAACTTCTTGCTACTTATTTCAATTATTCATAACAATTACGGATCACAAACTCATGGTAGCAGTAGAACAATTAATATGAATTAAGGCGTCAATTTAATTAATATCAACTGTTCATAAATAATAAGAACAAGAAACAAATAATACTTGAAAAAAGAAGAGATATCTATCTAACTCGAGCCTCCCAAGCTTCCAATCGGACTATCACCATTGAATTGGAAGAATTAAGACCTAGCCACTCATGCTAGAGGGAGAGAACTTGAATTTAGGAGAAGATAGCTTTTCATTGGAATTGAATCTTCCAATAACGCTCCTCTATTTATAGAGATTAATTTTATCCTCTTTTAAAGATGAATTATCTCTAATAAGAAATTATAACTAATTGGGAAGATCTTATTTAAAAGAAAACAAATTAAATATAAGAGCTCCTAATTAATTTAGGATTATGTTTCCTACTTTGATTATATATTTTTATTTACAAAATATCCTAAAAATCAATAATTCTCAATTTGAAGCATCCCACCATAATAATCGTGTCTCTATTTTATTCGTTGAACTCTCCAATTTTGGTGAAGTTCCACATTATCCTCTAAAATTGCACTTTTAGATTATTATTCTTAAATATCTTCAATCTGCCACAAAATGATAAATTATAATTAAATTGAAATATTTAAACATAATAAATATATAAAGTGTAAAATAAATATATAAAATATGAGTGTATCTTTCGTCTTATCAACAACTAAAGATGAATTATTTCACACTCCGATCATATACAAAGTCATTGCATAGGATACACTAACTCGCATGTCTCTACATGAACGATTTGGATTAAGTTGTTTGTAACTATTACAAAGTGGATCGTATACATATTGTTACCAGGATAAGGCACCCAACCTTRCCCATATACTATAGACCCTTTAGGTTATTACTAGAACATTATCTACCTGTATATATAATATATACTGTATATTAATTATATACTATATAACAAATATATACATTGTATATACTGTTTATCAGTTATATATTGTTCCAGTTACATGACATAACATCATAGGTTAGTTTATTGATTTGGATTAATGCAATTCTAAAACAAACATCAATAACAACTTTACTGAAATAAATATTTGTTTTACATTTACAAACCACTAATTTAGGGCATAAAACCCAACACAGACATAAAACCTACTTAGATAATCTTTGTATGGTTTATATTATGTGCAAAGTTAGAAGTTGATCCACGGTTAACAAGCCCTCATCGTCTAACCTAAACCTCCACTAGATATACCATATAGCCCGAGCAAAGTCGCCCAACCGTTTGGAGACAATTGAGATGGAGCAAGGTTAATCGAGCTAGGAATCTCTGGATGAAAGGTGGAAGGGAGAGTCTAACCCCTCTCTCGAACATTTGGGCATAAAAGCCGACAAATCCTAATGGCGAGTCACTTAAAGATTCCCCAACTTCAGGTAAATGAATGTCGATGTCTTCAAGAATGGGAATGAGATACTTATGACGAAGCTCAACTAGTTTTCCTATAGTTCAAGTCGAAGGACGTTCTTCAATTACATGCTGACTTGAAGTTGAGGGTCGATCTATTGGACGGTTACCCGACGTTCCTTAATTACATGGTGACCCCTGAAGTTGAGGGCTGATCTATTGGATGGTTGCTTACAGGTTGACTGTAGCCAAATCCCTCAACCTACACCCCATCGGTTGAGGTTAAGACTTTACTTCTAGAAGAATTTCTATCATAGGGGACGAGCTACCAGTACTTGAGATGAAAAAGCTAGTACCCAGAACTAATTGTACTTGATAGGTTGTCACATTGCCGCTTCAATTCTCGTAAGTCCCCAAAAATTATTAGGGCTTAAATCATGAAACAACATGTAGAGGTCGGACTTTGTCGAGCCGACCATCCACTTCTCAAAAGTGGGGGCCAATGTTGGAGGTAAATTATTGTCTGCCATGTGTTGACATCCAAGGCCGTCACTTACCTAAATGAAGAGAAGAACCGGATGAACCTTATCGTCCAATAGACTCAAGGTAGCTCGGCTAGGCATATTTAACTTTTCGCCGATCATCCCAAATGATGAGCCGACCTTGAAGAGCACCTGTAGGGGCACACCACCAAACATAATGTCAGACAAGGTGCTGTGATTCGCGGGCAGTCGAAGAGCCGTTGGAGTGTTGTCAGGAGCCGTGAGAATTCACTTTTATAAATAGAGATCCCCGCCTCTCATGCAAGGTATGCGAAACTATATTATTCTCTTTCGAGCATAGATCATATAAGTATTGATTAGAGCGTCAGAATGCTAACTCTGCTTTGCAGATCCCTCCGTTCATTGGTATTATTAGTCCGAGCTTCGGTAAGGGACTTGATCATTTTCTTGATCAAACAGTCAACGTCTTGCGTTTTCTTATATTTTAGTCGGATTCTTTGATATAATCTTCAACTTTTAGTTTTTCTTTCAATGTCAATGATTATAATTTTGGAGAAGATTTGATTATCGTAATTTTAATGATTATAATTTTAGAGAAGATTTGATTATTGTAATTTATTTACCTTTCTTTCTTTACTCACTTTCTTCAATTATTTTGTTTTTAATCTTTTATATACAATGTAATTTTTTATTTATTATTGTTATTGTTTGAATCAAATAATTAATATCAAACTTAAGAAATAGAAATAATAATAATATGATATAAAATTATAAATTTTACGGTGCTTTACAATGTATTTGAATTTCAATAATGTTATTTTGGTAAATTTTGTAACTTTCCTGCTACTTTAAATATACATATTTATTGTATTAAAAAAATGTATATTTATTTTATGCTGTTTATGTCGATATCTTTTTTTTTTAATTTAGTAAAATAGGATGATAATTTTCTCGTGCATGGCACGTGTTCCCAAAGAAAGAAAAATAAAAAATAGCCATTTGTGAATAAAATCCCAATTTGGAGAAACACAGTTCCCATTGGGAAGACCGCAAAACCATAAACCCAAACCCCTCCCTTCTTCCTGAAGGCTCAATCCATTCCCCAACTCATCGCTTACCTTCCCAATGCTACCGCTGTTCATCTCTTTCTCATCCATTTTCTTTTTCTGGAACTAATTTCAACACCCTTTTCCCCATGGACGCCATTTTTACTTCTCTCCCGTTGCCCAACAAATTCCACCCTCAATTCTTATCCCCACATTGTCTCCATCCCCCACCTCCCTTCAGAACCAGGTGCCGAACCAGCACTCGCAGATGGAAGTTCATATTCACGAGAATACGCGCCAATTCTTTCTCAACTGGGAACCGGGTGGGTTTACTCCGCTTTCCGAGAGCTTTCGGAAGCTCAAAGCCTCTACAAGAAGGTGGAGAAGATAATAACCCGAGTTTGGGTGATTTTGGTATCTCAAATTTGGTTAATTTGTCTCTGCATGATAAGAAGAATGATGGGACCATGCTCAATGATATTGCCAAGTCAATTGTGTATACATTGTTCTGTATTGCTGTTGGATTTCTTCCCTTTAGAACAGTTAGAGTTCCTGCTATTGCCGCTCAGGTAGTCGAGGAGAGGGTTTTGGATAAGAAAACCAATGGGGGAGAGGAGGATGCATCGAACTTGAGGAGTCACGAGTACTCCGACTGCACGAGGCTGTTGCTTGAGGCGGTGTCGGGTGTATTGAGGATGATAGAAGAGGCTAGAAAAGGTAATTCCAGTGTGGAAGAAGTGGAGGCGGCATTCAAGGCTGTGAAGTTGAAGAAAGAGGAATTGCAGGAACGTATTTTGAATGAGCTTTATATGCAACTGAGAGGATTGAAGGGGGAGAAGGCAGCTTTGGAGAAGAGATTGGATGAGGTTGTTGACGAGGTAATGAAAGCTAAAGGAGAGTATGAGAGGTTAGTGGGGAAAGGGGTAAGTGGTGGGAAGGACGCGAGGGAGAGGATAGGCAGGTTAGAGCAGATATTGAGAAGGTTGGAGGTTGAGTACGACGAGAAATGGGAGAGAGTAGGGGAGATTGGGGATAATATTTTGAGGAGAGAGACTGTGGCCCTGAGCTTTGGGGTGAGGGAGATATGCTTCATTGAGCGGGAATGCGACCAACTGGTGAAGAGGTTTACTCGGGAAATGAGAGCCAGAGGGAAGGGTACTAACAGGTACAAACACAAATTTATAGACTTTATGCAATGTTTGTCTGTCTAATACTTTCCAAGAACTCATGGCTTGGTGTGTTGTAACGTTTACGGGTTGCTTACATTTACAGATTTCTTAAACAAAAAACATGTGCGGGAGTGAAAGCTTCCACATCTTCAGCCTAATAACTGGATATTCTACTTTAAATTCTAATTGTTTTTTTTTCTTCCTCATTTGTAGGATTCATTCATCCTTGCAGGATGAGTTGGCCTGTAAATTTTTCTATATATTTGGGTTCTCTTTTAGATTATGATATTAACAGTGAATGAATTTTACGACTAGAAAAGTGATATGGGTGCTGAATTGTGAGTTTACTCTTTTTCTTTTTGAAAAATCAGACTCACTTTTCATTGATGTAGTGTACGTGAGTACATATAAAATATTACTTTTTCTGATTACATCCCTAATTAGAAGTAACTATGAAAGGAGTATAATGAAAAAAAAAGAATTTGATAGGAAACACCTTGAAGAACAATAAAACTTAGCCAATTTCAAAGGATAAGCCTTTTCGATTCCTAAGAAGTCTGATGCTAGGAAAATTAAGGATTTTGGGCCAATTAGCTTGATTACTAGCCTTTACAAGATTATAGCCTCTACAAGTTTATATCTAAGCCTTTCTTGGAGAGGATAAAAAAGGTCACCGTTTCTTCGCCTCGGGGGGCCTTTGTGGTGGGTTTTTCACAACAATGCAAGTAGTAAGGCTCTTCAGTGCTAATCGGTCTAGTATTACCTCCTCCAGCAAAGCTTCTATTGGTTCTTTATTTGATTAAGGCTCAATGAGAAAAGATCATTTTGTAGGAAGGAGTTGAGGAGGGTGGTGAGTCTCATTTTGAATTGGAATGTCATTTCAAAAACTATAAAGGAGGGTTGCCAGGGGATAGGAAATTGGGTCAGCAAAAACGTAGCCTTCTTTCGGGGTGCTCGTGGAGGTTCCCATAAGAACCTCAAGCTCTTTGGCATAAGGTAAATTGCAAACAAGCATGGGTGGCATTCTAGCTCGTGCTCTGAAAACCCTTCTCTAATTTTTTTTTTTGATATGAAACAAAACTTTCATTGAGAAAAATGAAAAAGATACAAAATACACCAAAAGGCCTAAAAAGGGCATACAAAAAGACAGCTCAGCAAGAGGAATCCCCCTAAAGAAAAGGACTCCGATCCGAAAGAATAAGGCCAAGCGGATAATTACAAAAGAGATGAGAAACCGAGCCCCATAACGAAGTATTAAATCTAACAATGTCCCAAACAAAGTCCATAGACTTTTCCACCCTCCTAAACACTATGATTCCTCTCCAGCCAAATACCTCGTAACATAGCTAGAAAGCAAGCCTGCCACAAAAAACGACCCTTATCCTGAAAAGGGGGGAATAAGAGCACCTCCTCCATCATAGTCCTACAAACCCTAGCACGGACCCAGGAAGTCCCGAAACACAAAAAGAAATGATGCAAAGATTTTGAGCAAACTGGCAAGTCCACAGTATGTGATCAAGGTCCGAGGCACTCTTACAGAGAACACACCACTGTGGACCCAGGCAAAAACTCGACATCCTCTGGATATGATCCAACGTATTAACTTTCCCAAGAAGGACTTGCCACCCGAAGAACTTGATCTTCTTAGGAACTTTAATCTTCCACAGAGAGGTGAACCAAGGGGTCGAAAGGGGAGAAGAAGACAGGGAGCTCAAAATTTGATAATAAGAACTACAAGAAAAACCTTTGGACGGGCTGAGCGTCCAAATCCTCACATCCTTTCTCCCAGGGAACACAGAAAACTGAGACACCAAAGTAAGCGGAAACCTCTAAGGTATCCCAATTCGTTAGGGCACGAGAAAGGCCCAAAGAAATAGAAGGACCCCCACCCCCCACCCTGGGAATTCAAGACCTCGGCCTCCGAATGATGTTTCATTTAAGAAAGATGGTATAACCGAGGGAACGCAAGTGAAAGAAGTTTATCTCCTACCCAAGTGTCCCCCCAGAAATAAGTGTTAAAACCTTCCCCCACCATATAGCGAATAGACTGAGAAAAAGTAGGGAAACCCAAAGCAATAGCCTTCCAGGGATTATAATTGCTAACCTTGGACCCACCAGCTAGAACCCAATCAAACGGATGCAGCCCGTACTTACTTGCAATAATCCATCGCCACAAGGCATTAGTTTCATGGAGGAAACGCCATAACCATTTAGCCAAGAAAGCCTCATTCCTAAGCCTTAAGTTTCCAATATCCAAACCTCCTGCCTCCAAAGGCTTCATAACCTCCTTCCAACTCACCAGAAACCTTTCCAAAGAAAATCCCTCTTTGCCTTTAATAGGTTTTGTGGAAACAGCTGGGATTCTAGTTTCCAAACTACACTTTTAATAGGTCCTGTGGAAATTGGCTCTCTTTGCCTTTCAAAATTTTGATCATTAACCACCTTTTTTRTAAGCCTTCCTTGATCCAAAGATTAAGGAATTGACTTCTCTTTTAACTTTTTTTCATTCGGTGTGTTTATCCCTTGATTGTAGAGACCAACATGCATGGCCCATCGAGCCCTTTGGTTTATTTTCTTGTAAGTCTTTGTTCCTCCATTTGGTTTCCTCTTTAGCCCTTCCACAACAGGTCCTTTCTTTTGGAAGCTCAAAATCATGTAGAAAATCTGGTTCTTTCTTTATTTTTGCCTTTGAAAGGATTAATACCTTCAATGTTTGGCAAAAAGCCACCTCTTGTGTTTAGGCCCAAATTGGTGTGTTTTGCTGTAGGAGCAAAGTTGGGGATTGGAATCATTTGTTATGGTTGTCCCTTTTTACTAGGGTTTAGAGTCAATTTTGGCGGAGCTTTTAGTCTAGCCTATGTGCAGACATTGAGTATTTCCTATTTCTGAAACTTTGGAGCAGTTTACTTGGATGGGACCTCCTTTAGGTTGGGTTCTTTGGCAGGTTGGCTCCCTTGCTGCTTTGTGGTGCTTTGTGGTACATTGGACTGGAAAGGAAAACAAGAGCATTCCTTGGACGAGACCGTTCGTGGGAGGATGCGTGCAATTTAGCATTTGTTTTGCATCTCTATTGGCCCTCAATTAAAATTTATTTTCCAATTATGAATAGCCACTGCTACATGAATCCATAGTATTTTCACTTTTCTTCTCAAGTTTTTTATTGCAAAACGATGCTTCAATGTTGTTTTATGTCGCAAAGTCGAGGCCCAAACTACCTCAAGAGGCAGCTCGGTTGGCAAGGGCTTGGAGTCTCTTAGTCATACTAGCTTAGAGGTCAAGTTCTAACCTTCCAGTGTGTTTAATACCAAAAACTCTTGATGTCCTCGGGTTCGGACCTTGGGGAGGGCGGGCGTGGGTGCCCTAGAGTATAGGGGAATAAAACTCCGACTCCCCGTAAAAAAAAAAAAAAAGATCAAGGCCCAAACTCTTGAAACTATTGTGACATTATAATCGAGCATCTTTAACTAGTAAGGCAATCAAAGATGGTTCATCTCTTCCACTTCCCTTTTACTTAACAGACACCAGTTTGAGCGATAAACTCATGTTTGCACATCTCCTTTGAATTCTTTTGGCATCTTTAAGCCTTCATGATGCATTATCCATATGAAAAGCTTTACTATTTTTTTTGTCCTTTACTCTTCAAGACTTCGGGAGACAGATTTTTGCTTTGACATTTTTCTTTGTTGTTAGATAATATTATTTGAATTATAATTAGATTTAGTTCAGATTATATTATTTTTTTTTTGATATGAAACAAATATTTCATTGATGGTATGAAATATACAAAAGGCCACATGGGCAATTACAAAAGAGCTTTCCAACTTGTAATAAATTCATTTAGAGAATAGCTACTAAAAATTGGGTAGAAATATTTGCACCATCCGAGAGCTAATGTAATGACCCTATCAAAAAATAAATCAAAAGGGAGAGCATTGTCATTGAAAACCCTGTTGTTCTTTTCCAACCAAAGACTCCAAAAGAAGGCCCGAGCAAACTGTATCCATAGAGTCAGTTTTCTTCTCTTAAATGGGTGCCTCGCCAATATCTGGTCAAGAAAGATAGTAGGATTTGTGTGTAGGGGAGTTTCCCATCCAAAAGCTGCGAGTAGTTGGCTCCAAAATTGATTAGCGAAATCACATTGTGTGAATAGGTGACCCTGTGTTTCTGTAGCTTTAAAACTGAGAAGGCAACAGTTTGGGGATAGGGTGATGTGGGGGAGCTTTTTCTGTAGTCTATCATGGGTATTGATCACCCCATGACTAAGTTCCCAGAAGAACTTGACTTTCCTTGGGCATCTCCATGCCAAATTCGAGGGAATAGAGTGGAGACAGTGAGATCTTTGTTAGTGGTGAGAATGCGATAGGCAGATTTTGTAGAAAAAGATCTGTTGGTTTCCAAAGGCCATGTCCATTGGTCATTAAGGGAGGTAGGTGTGGTTGAGTCTAGTATATAGGAGAGTGCTAACCAATCAGAGAGCTCATCGTCTTTTAGTGGTCTGCGGGAGTTGTAATCCCAGGAGGCTGTGGCGTGTGACCAAAGCTCGGAAATAGTGGCTTCTTTGTTGGTCGAAATAGCATAGAGATTGGGATAGAGGCTGCCCAGAGTCCCTTGTGATAGCCATGTATCGTGCCAAAAACTGAGAGCACTTCTTTCACCCACTTTGCAAATGGCGTATGTCCTGACAATGCTGATTTGCTTAGTGATTCCAGTCCATGGCCCCTTAAAACGATTTCTGTGAATGGATGGCCAGGTAACCGAGAGTGAGCCATTGTATTTGGCCGCTATGAGTCTCCTCCATAGGTGGTTTGGCTCTGAATGAATCTCCAAATCCATTTAGATAATAAAGCTCGGTTCCTATGGTTGATGTTACCAACGCCAAGGCCTCCTTCGTGTAGCGGTAGTTGGGTGCGGGTCCAGTTAATAAGATGGGGCTTGCCATTTGAGTTCGATCCCTCACACAAGAAATCTCTGAATATTTTACTAAGACGATCCGCAG